CTGGTGGGGGGAGGTCGTGTCCATTCAGGGTGGTTGGTTAGGGAGGGGTGTGTCCACCCAGGAAACTGGTGGGGGGTGTCATGTCCATCCCGGAGGCTGGCAGGGATGTCATGTCCACCTGGGGAAGGTGGAAGCTCTGTGAGGGCCATCTGCTCCCTGTCATGGGGCAATACCTGCTCATCTTGGAGCTCTCACTCCCAGTCTGACCAGTGCCTGGTGCTGGGTGCTGCGGGGGTCCTGAGAATGCACAGAAGACAAAGACCCAAGACAGGGGTCCTTCCTAGACATCTTAAGCAGAACGTGTTGGATACAGACACAGAAACCCAGTCCCAGTGGCCAGTGACACCTGAGCTCCAGTCACGGGTCCATGGGACGGGGCCATTGGGGAGCCTGTGAGACCCCTGCAGCACATGCTTCTGTGTCCCTTCCCAAGGGGTCCAGCTGCTTCCTGCCATACCTGTCTCCTCCCGTCTCTGGGGTCAGGCTCTCTGCATCTTCATGTGTGAAGGGAAGTCAACACAGGCTCCGTCATCATCAGCCAAGCATCTCACAGGGCCATCTTGTGTCTTCCTGCCCAGGCCAGTGTGACTGGCTGAGTGCAGGGCAGGTTGCACTTAGGTCCAGTCAGCTGTGATGGGGGAGGGGTGCTGGCCTATAACCACCCCAGGGGAGCGAAGACAGATGAGCCCAGCCAGAACAAGTGGAGGGTCCAGTCTAGAATAGAGGCTGTGACCCACCAGGGTGGGAGAGGGCAGGCTTGGGACAGAGCTGGATAGGTGGGCCCCATGTGGGGTTGACAGAGGGCAGGATCAGCCTCCTCAGGTCCAGAGACCCTCCATGCAGGCTTTGGAATAACTTAACCTTGGTTTAAATCCCATGCTAGTTGGGTGACATTGGGCAGTTATTTTGCCAGTCTGCACCTCAGTTTTCTCATCTGTTAAATGGGTCAGATAAGAGTCCCAAGCTCCCAGGGTGTCATGGGGGTGAAATGTGACCCTGTGATCACAGAGCTCAGGAAATGCCCTCCCAGCCCCCTCCTCATTTGACCCTGGGGCCCCTGCAGTCCCCTGGGTAGAGGCCTCTTCCCACCACCCCTCAGGTCAGGGACCATGTGTGGGTATATCCCCCCAGGCAGGGCTGTGGCTGTGAGTTCAGGTCTGCAGTGGGCTCCTGGCTCCTGGGAAAGTGCTCACCATACCCCACCCAGACTGCCTTGCAGAAGCTTGTTGGAGGCTGTTGATCTGACTGGGCATCTCTGTGTGATGCTACCTGAGGAGCTGACCACATGGTGGAGGCCGCATTGTCCACCAGGCTGGTGCCCTGGACTCCGTAATTAATGTCTCAGGAAGAACTTCAGCTGATGAAGGAGTCTTAGAGGAAAATAAACAAGAGGCAGATAACCCTGCAGGTGGCTGTCCATGCTGCCTGGAGGCAGGAGCTGACAACTCAGCCTGGGTCCCAGTTGCCAGGGGTTTGGGTTGCACTGGTCCGGGCCTCTGGCTTTTGGATCCTGATGGTTTCATCGGCCAGATGGTGCCATCTGTCTGTGGCAGGCTGGGCTCCAGGCCAGGTGCTGAGTGACCTCCTGGAGGATCTCGAAGTGCGGTCCCCGAGTGTTGGGATACAGCTTCCCAGGTGCAAGGGTGTCAGGCCTGGGAGTTTTGCAGCCTGTACGGGACGCAGACGCTGCCCAAGTGTGGACCTGCTGGGTCTCATCCTGTGTACTGTCCTCTGCGAGGCCGGGTGGCTCCTGGCATCTTCCAGGGGCTTGGGTTGCACTGGCCCGGGCCTCTGGCCTTTGGAGCCTGATGGTTTCATCGGTCAGATGGTGCCATCTGTCCATGGCAGGCTGGGCTGCTGAGGGGATTGTTCCTCACCCAAGGAAGGTCCCTGCGTGTCCTGACTCTGAGTCTCTGTGGGTTGTCAGCAGGTGAGCTGGCCATGGTGGAATCATGGGGGCCACACCCTCCTGAGAGGTCTGGGAGAAAGCAGAGGTGCCTTGCCAACCCCACCCCTGCCAAGCCACTTGCATTCGGGTATCTTCCAGGGCCCCTGTCAGAAGTCAGGGGTGAAAGGTGCAGACAAAACATTATTTTGGTCTGAGGGCTGTGCCACCTGGAACAGACCCTTACGGTGCCTGAGGTGGCTGCCCTGGCTCCCTTGCACTGGGGTTCATCTTTTCACATAGGAGTTGCTTGGGGTGTTTAATAAAAAACAGCGGCAGACACCGGGCTTTGTGCCTGCAGGTGCCAGGGAGCTCCATAGAGCAGCCTTTGGTAGTTGGCGCTTGGGCCTGGCCTTGTGAGCTGGGGGTCTAGACCTTGAGAAGGCCTGCTCTGGTGTGTCCTGAGTCGGGGGCAGTGTCCCACATCCATGCTGTCCAGCACAGTCAATGCAGCCATGGGCGGCTGCTAAGCACTGGGGGGTAGCTGGTGCACCCAAGGATCTAAGCCTCCAGCCTTGTGTGAACTTACGCAGCCGTGAGTGACTGGAGCAGCCGTGTGGGACGGTGCAGGTGTTTACACAGTTAGGGAGGGAAGGACACACCTGTGGCACCAGTGGGGGCCCAGCCTCCCCTCCCTTTGGGGGACACCTGTCCCTCGTGTCCTGTCCCCATCCCTGCCGGCCCTGGGCTGTGGGTGGTAAGGCCAGGCTACCCAGGCAGCCACTGCAGAGCTGATGGCCACTTTCTTACTGATACCAGTTATAAAATCAGACGTGTTCCCACTGGGGGCAAAAACCCAGGCACGATAAAATTACAGACTCCGCAGGGGAGACTTAGCCAGCCCCTGTCATGCCATGTCCTAGGATGCCGTTGACTGCATACTGTGCAATTATCACCCTATCTTACAGGTTGACAAACTGAGGTCTGAGAAGTGTTCTGGCCTCCCCCCGGTCTTAGTGTATGCAGCAAAGTCAAATGTAGACTCAGGGCTGCGTGCTTCCGGTGTGTGTACTGCCCATCTCTACCTATCCTGGACTCAGCACCCCTCAGGCTGCCCTCACAAGGCCCTGTTGGCCACAGGGTTTGCCTCCAAGCCCCAGGCCCCTGCCAGTGTTCTGAAACCCCTGGCGTGGGACCAGCAGCCTGTCTGGTCCTAGGAGTTTGAAGTCACCTACGCGTGTCTTCTGATTTCACTGTGTGCCCACTCACTGCTCGGCTGCCTGTCACTGTGTACTCCTTTTATTGACATAATCTAAAGTTAACTATTTAAATAAAGTTAACTGAGGTTCATTATTAGTAAACGTTGTTAGTAAACTTAAAACTACCCATTGTACGTGAACAATTCAGCGGCATCTCCCACGTCCATCATGCCGGGCAACCACCATGTCTGTCAAGTTCCAAGCCATTTTCATCACCCAGAAGGAACTCCGTCCCCACGAACATCACTCCCATCCTCCTGCCCCAGCCCCTGGCCACTGCCCATCTGCTTTGTCTCTGGATTTGCCTGTTCAGAATATAAAATTGTGTGTGATGACAGAGAGAGAGAGAAATTGGGGGGGGGGGGGAAA